TTTTCCTACCATGTACACAAGGTTGCTTTTAGATGCTTTAACGTTGACAGTGAGGAATTCAAAGCTTTGTATGGTTTTGAGTTTCCACTCTCCCTGTGATTTCAGGAAGTCCCCCGGCGGCTTCTTGCGGGTCATCTCTTCTCCTGTGGCTGTAATTTGGATGTATTGCACTGTGCGAACAGCAGAAAAGACCATGAAGCGGATAAAGGTTGTAATTGTTGTCACACTGTTTTATACATATGTTCAAATCTTATTAGTCTATAATTTGTTATTCTTTCAATGGTACTTGTCTTATTGGAATTTATGTAAGTTGTATTTGTTTTATATTGTATTATTTAGAATCGCCCCGCGACCCCATGAGGGAATAAGCGGTATTGATAATGGATGGATGGATGGATGGATGGATGGATTATTTAGAATCGAGTGTATTTGCTTTTGTTTTGAAGTTTTGAGAACGGCGCTTTTATTTTGAAATCAAGTCCTGTTCTGAGCTCTCGCGCGAGAAGCAGAGATGCCGGAGAAAAATATTTACGAAGATAAGGGCTAATGCGTATTGGAATATCAAAGTTTGGACAATTCCATTTTTTCTCGCAGCATGCAGCCAACGAAGTATTTTATTTATTTGCTTGCTTTTTGAGTATAATTTTTCGATGCTGTGCAGGTTATTGTTTGTCTCATTGATGTTTGTGTTTTGCTAATATTGCTAGTTTTCACGGTGGATTTGGAGACTGCCAAGGACTTCAAATAAACCTGTAGAAGAAAACCACTTGAGTCTGCACGTGCTTGTGTCATGGGTGTCTTGTCACGTTTCCTGTTTTGTTTTGTAGTCCTTCCTGTTTGGTCCCAGTGTTGCTTTCCCACTTGCTTTCTCTTGATTTCCTGACTCCTCCCTAATTACCTCCACCTGTGTCTCATTGTTTCCTTCCCTGTCTGGTGTATTTAGTCCCCAGTCTGTCTCTTGTTCGCTGCGTGTTCGTACTTGTCTTTCGTCAGTCGTTCAACCATTTTAATCTCGTCTTGCCTTGTTATCCTGACCTTTGCCTGCCTTTTTCTCGACCACCGTTTTTGCCTGCCGTTCTTGTACTTTAGCCTGATCTTAGTTATGGCGAGATGAAGCTTCAAAAAGCTTTGAAGCGTTCCATCCAATCGGTTCACTCGGGTGTTGAAGCTTCATGGTGCTTCATTTGCTCTGTTCTGCCCCCTAGTGGACAATAAATGTTAACCGTACAGCGTGGTTATAACGAGACTCTGGCTTTGGTGTCTGAAGCATTGAGTGAATTAATCAATGATGTTTGTGATGCTGCCATCCAGGTTGACCCCGCCCTTCCCCATTGGCTCCAGTCCCCCCCCCCCATCCCATTAGGGAATCGGCGGTTAGCATAATGGACGGATGGATGTTTGTGATGCTTATACATGAATTATAAACTTTTAGATGATGTCTGTCTTTATGATACAATGACAGGGAAGCTTGAATAGATCGCTCACAAACTCGTAATTAAGTCCCAAGTCCACAAAATGTGAGGGGGGGGGATTCATTGCGTTTTTCTGGCCCTTATTTTTCAAATAGATCGCCAAACCGCGAACACTTCCTGAATCAGTCACGTGGTACGGCCGGTTCGCGAGGCTTCAAACGTCACCGCATACGTCATCGACACAAGCCTCGATACGCGCTTCACAGAAATCATCCTGGATTTCTCGACACGCGCTTCGAAGCCTCGATACGAATGGACACATCACTAATCCTGACCTTTGCCTGCCTTTTTCTCGACCTCCGTTTTTGCCTGCTGTTCTTGTACCTTAGCCTGATCTATTGCCTACCCGTGTACCGACCTTTTTCTGGATTAAACGACTTCATCTTAAACCCTTGCCAGGAGTTTTTGCATTTGGGTCCTGGCAGTGGCGGATCTAGACTTTTATCTTTGGGGTAGCAAGGGGGTGGCCAAGTGTATTTTAGGGGGGCAATGGTTTATACTTAAAAATAACAAAGTTTATGCACTAGCGTTAAAGTCACAGCAGAAAACACCAACCGTCTGTAAGCAATCGAGTGCTGTATACCTGTTCATGTCACGTTTAAATTATTATTCACTATCATTTATTTCTACATGGACTTACAGATGTTGGTCCTGTCTTGTGTTCTATTCATCTATTACTTTTCTCCTAGAAAATATTCAGCTGTTTTTATAAATATGGCAGTTTTAAAATCCATCTCGAGAGCGCGCAGCCTTTTCCCAAAGAACGTTGTTTGTTAACTAATGTTATGCTTGTTGCACTCGGTGGCTTCTTCTTTCACCATAGATTCACGACTGGAAAGGGACTGCATAGCGCCATCTACTGTACAGGAAGAACATTGCAGTCAAAGACTTCAAACGTGCAACTGTTTTAGCGGTCAATCATCTGGGGTGGCAGTTGGGGTAGCCAATCAGATTTCGGGGGAGTCAATTGCTCCCGTAGACACCCCTATAGATCCGGCCCTGGGTCCTGGTGCCACGACCGTGATAGCTTAAAGGGAATTATAAAGGTTTTGTCCTGCAGGTGCTCGGCGAGGTCTGAAGACTCTCACCGTCGGAGCTCATGGACTCGAAAGTCATGTTGCAGCGCTGGTGGTCGAAGGGAAACAGGAAGAGGTCCAGCTGGCAGATGTAGGTCAGCCGTTTGCGCTCGCTCACTTTCACCAAACCGCTGGGATACACCACGGCAAACGGGTCCTGCAGGACCGTGCCGACGTCAGAGGTACTGGAGAGGACAAAACACGACAAACTCTACCGACCATACCTCCATTTTACTCCTCTTACAGTGGGGGAAATAAGTATTTGACCCCTTGCAGATTTTGCAGGTTTGCCCACTTACAAAGAATGCAACGATCTATAACTTTAATCATATGTACATTCTAACAGTGAAAGACAGAATCCCAAAGAAAATTCCAGAAAATCACATCATATGAATTTATAAAAATTGATAACCATCTGATGAGGAAAAATAAGCATTCTTTGTAAGTGGGCAAACCTGCAAAATCAGCAAGGGGTCAAATACTTATTTCCCCCACTGTATCTGAGGGAGAGTCGTAGAGGCAGCAGTGGGGAGCTTTCCAGATGTTCCCCAAGATTCCTAGATGTTCTGCAATGTGCCAAGATATTTCCAGAAAATCCCCGGTATTCCTAGATGTGTCCCGATGTTCCCAGTTGTTCCCCTATTTTTCTAGATGTTCCCTGAGAGGCTTAGATGTTACCAGACCATCCCAGATATTCTTAGATGTTCCCAGTTGTTCTCCGGTTTTCCTAGATGTTCCCAATGTTCCACAATGTTCCTAGATGTTCTGCAATGTGCCTAGATGTTCCCAGACATTCCCCGGTATTCTTAGATGTCTCCCGCTGATCCCAGTTGTTCCCCGATTTTCCTAGATGTTCCTAATCTTTCCCAATGTTCCGTGATGTTCCGAGATGTTCCCTGATGTTCTTAGATGTCCCTACATATTCCCCAATGTCCTATATTTTCCTAGTTTTCCCTGATGTTCCTAGATGTTTTTGCAATGTGCCAAGATGTTCCGAGACATTCCCCGATGTTCCCAGTTGTTCCCCGGTTTTCCTAGATGTTCCCTGGTGTTTCCCAATGTTCCTAGATTGTCTGCAATGTGCCAAGATGTTTCCAGACATTCCCCCTTATTCATAGATGTGTCCCAATGTTCCCAGTTGTTCCCCGATTTTTCCAGATGTTCCCTGAGGTTCCTAGATGTTCTGCAATGTGCCTAGATGTTTCCAGACATTACCAGATATTCCTAGATGTTCCCAGTTGTTCTCCGGTTTTCTTAGATGTTCCCTGAAGTTTCCCAATGTTCTTAGATTGTCTGCAATGTGCCTAGATGTTCCCAGACATTCCCCGATATTCCCAGATGTCCCCCAATCTTCCCAGTTGTTCTCCGGTTTTCTTAGATGTTCCCAATGTTCCCCAATGTTCCTAGATGTTCTGCAATGTGCCTAGATGTTTCCAGACATTCCCAGATATTCCTAGATGTTCCCCGATGTTGTCAATGTTCCCCATTGTTCCCCAATGTTCCCCAATGTTCATAGATATTCTGAGATGTTCCTAGATGTTCCCTGACGACCCCTGATGTTCCTTGATGTCCCCTACGTATTACCCAATGTCCTTGCTTTTCCTAGTTTTTCCCAGATGTTCCCTTAATATTCCTGGATAGCCTTACATAATCCCAGATGTTACCCGATGTTCCTAAATGTTTCCAGATGTTCCTAGATGTCCCTAGATGTCCCTACATATTCCAGATGTTCCTATATTTTGCTGATTTCTCCCAGATGTTCCTCAATGTTCCTGGATGGCCTTACATGTTCCCAGATGTTACCTGATGTTCCTAGATGTTTCCAGATGTTCCTAGATGTCTTTAGATGTCCCTAGATGTCCCTACATATTCCCAGATGTTCCTATATTTTTGCTAGTTTTTCCCAGATGTTCCTCAACGTTCCTGGATGGCCTTACATGTTCCCAGATGTTCCCAAATGATCCTAATTGTTTCCAGATATTCCCAGATGTTCCCAGATGTCCCTACATATTCCCAGATGTTCCTAGATTTTCCAGATGTTCACCAGTGTTCCTAGATAAACAGGCAGCAGGCCTCTGATTGGCCAGGGGGGGATAAAGCCACTGGATGATTCCCTAAAGAAGCCTTACCATTGGTCCCCCCCCCCCTACCACTAAAGAGGCCCATCAGAGGAGCAGCAGTCCTCCATGTTGGGTCGGGTTCGTGTCAGTTACGGAAATTAATATATGTATAATCACTTTCTTAATTTCTATCTGGTAACTTTCCACAAGTGAATATTCTAAAGGTTCTTTTTCTTTCTCATGAGACTCATTCCTCCTTCTAGGTCTCAGAGAGAGTGTCATACTTTATCTCTGAATGTTTTGTCTGGAGGATTGTTTAATACAGATGCAGAATGAAGGATAGACTTTACGTCTTATTTTCAAACTCAGAAGGGTATAAAATGCTCCATGATTAGTTTTACTTTGGGGCAGTTTGGTGCCTCATATGGACCACTTGTATGAAGTTTTGCCCTTCCCTTCTTCCCTTTTTAATAAATTTCTATTTCTTGCTTCCTCAGATGGACTCAGACTTTTGCTTTAAGATAAAATTTCCAGTGTCGCAGACTGATGATGTCACAGGACTTTCAGACCAACACCCACTTAATGGAAAACCACCAAACACAAAAGTCAAAACAAAGTCTTTTTCATACTCACTCCTCCTGGATGGCGATGTCCGGGATCCAGAGGATGGATCTCGGCACGGTCAGGAAATCGATCCCGCA